TTTCTGGCAAAAAAAAAAAAAAGCTGAAATTAATTTACACTCCTAAGAACAAGACAATTCACTTGTACAAATGCCTACACTGAATGTTATATCTATTTTTAAAATTTCTGCTTAGTCCAATGGATTAAAAAGTTACATCTCACTATTGTTTTCACAGTAGTTGTATTTCTTATCTTGCTAAGTCTCCAACGAAAAGAGGTAAAAGAATACATTCATCAAATCTCGAATGCTTGGCATAGTTCCCTTCTGTGCCCTGAATGCTCAGCATTCTGATAGAACTCACTATCTACCTGTATATATATCCCCATCTCTTAAATACATGGGTAAGCCTCAAACACAAAACACAAATTATTAAATCTAACATAAAAATTTCTCATAAAGTGAGTTACTATAAATTATAATGCAATGCTGCACCAAAATTATATGATAACATGGGGGAAATATATTTTAAAAAACAGAAAGATAGCTAGAACACTATCCCTTTAAACTACTATCCCTCTTTTCCAGGAGCAGGTAGTTTTACTTTTCAAAGCTCTCTTTTAAACTCTAAGAATTTCTTTTCTTTTTCTTTCTTTTTTTAAATTTTTTTCTTTTAATAATTTCAGAGAGGAAGGGAGAGGGAAAGAGAGAAACATTAATGATGAAAGAGAATAATTGATCGCTGCCTCCTGCACAACCCCCACTAGGGATCGAGCCCACAACCTGGGCATGTGTCCTTGACCGGAATTGAACCTGAGATCCTTCAGTCTGCAGGCTGACGCTCTATCCACTGAGCCAAACCAGCTAGGACAAGAATTTCTTTTCTTAATCCTAACATGCCTCACAGCTGCTCATCAGTATTCCTTTATGGCTCAGAATATTAGGAGTCCAGAGGAAAAACAGAGAATGAAAAACAGTTCGAAAATAAAATCTGCTTGCTCAGCACATTAAAATTACTGAAAATTGCTACTTATGAGAGTTACTTGTAGCTTTGTTTTTTCCATGAATTATTTAGGCAAAACAAATAAGACATGGTTTTACTTAAATCTTGTACGACAGAGATTGTATGTCATCTGATCCAACTTCGTGTAAATTAAGCTTAAGTAATAATGTCCCCTACGTGAAATTTATAAAAAATTTAGTACACTTTTACATTTGGCTCACTGTATACTTTCTAAAGGAAATATATACCATAAATTCAGGATATTTTTCAATAAATCATTTTTATTTATTGCTATTAATTAAAAACAACAATATATCAAATAAAGCACAAATAATTTTTCTATAAGCAAAATAAACATTACATTGTTGTTGTTTTTTAATTCTTTCTTGTTTAAAGCAGCGGTTCTCAACCTGTGGATTGTGACCCCTCTGGCGGTCGAATGACCCTTTCACAAGGGTCGCCTAAGACCATCCTGCATATCAGATATTTACATTATGATTCATTAACAGTAGCAACATTACAATTATGAAGTAGCAACGAAAATAATTTTATGGTTGGGGGTCACAACATGAGGAACTGTTTTAAAGGGCCAGAAGGTTGAGAACCACTGGACTTTAAAGTATTACATATGTCTCCTTTTTCCCAGGAGTTCCATTTTTAATTTTTTGAGGAAACTCCATTCAGGTTTCCACAGTGGCTACACATTACACTGGTTTTTGAAGAGCAATAAAAACAACAGAACCAGAAATTAATGGGGAGTAAACCTCCATATTTGATTAAATTCCAAACACAAGATTAGTATTAAACATAAAAAAACTTTGCACCCTGGCTGGGTGATTCAGTTGGTTGGTTGAAGCCTCATCCCATACACCAAATGGTTTCGGGTTCGATTCCTGGTCAAGGTATATACCTAAGTTTCGGGTTAGATCCCTGTCGGGCATGTAAGGGAAGCAACCAATGGATGTTTCTTTCTCTCTCTCTCTCTCTTTCTCTCTCTCTCTCTCTCTCTCTCTCTAGTAAATATATCAACATATCCTCAGTTGAAGAAAAAAAAAATTTCCCCCCAACTTCTACCAGTCTTCTAGACAAAAGTTTCCACTAACATGATAATCTATCGCCACTATGTTGGAAATCAGAATTCTAATAATATACCCAGTTTGGAATACTAACTGTCAAATTTCAATGGTTGGTCACCAATCACACAAACAATATTTATATGGCATAAAAAAATCTGTAAACAATTTTATTTTATTGTGAATTTACCAACTATAACCAGATATTCCAAAAGGAGCATCTTAAATGGCATACTACAATGGGAAAAGTGTTTTTCTTTTGGGGGAGGGTGGATTTTAATGGTAGGAAAATTATATCCCAAGTAAGAATCTTACCATGATGCACACAAAAAGAAGGTTAGTTATCACTAGCCGCCTATTTTTATAATGAACAAAAATATAGAGTAATACTGCCTTCTATTTACAAACCGTCCTTTTCATGATAGTTGAAAAGTTTTCTTGCAGGTTATTGTTTTATAATTCTTAATGTAATAATATGTATTTAATCCTTCCAAAACATTCACTGAATTTACTATGTAGAAATCGTTAGGACAGATAACAAAAGGGAAACAAAGACTGATGAGACCAAATTTCTTATCTCAAGAGGACAATAAAATACAAAAAAAAGTCATAATTTTAACATAATATGGAAAGTGGTAGACAAAAGAAGAAATTTAAAAAAAAAAAATGCTCTACTCTGGCTTGCATGGCTCAGTGGTTAAGCATCGACCTATGAACCAGGAAGTCGAGGTTCAATTCCTGATCAGGGCTCAATCCCCAGTGTGGGGTATGCAGGAGGCAGCCGGGCAAGATTCTTTCTCATCACTGATGTTTCTCTCTCTCTCTCCCTCTCCCTTCCTCTTTGAAATAAAAATATATATATATTTTAAATAAATAAATAAATAAATAAATGCTGTAGAAGACAGAGGAAAGAGATTAGTTCTCACCAGAAGGATATGGAAAACTGTCTTGGTAGGGGTACCCATGTGAATTGTGCCTCTAAGGATCGATAGTGGAAATGTGGGAGGAGAGGACACTGAGAAAGAGTGATGATGAAAGGTAAGGAATAGGAAAGAGCCAGCCATGTTTGGGAATAGCATAAAGTCTGGCTTGGCTGAGGCATAGCCCTGTTAAGGAAAATGGAGAAGGTTAGAAAGAAAATTAGTGAGGAAGCACGAGTCATAAATTCTACACTATTTTCTCTAACATGAAACCCCTGATAGAAATAATCTTTCTAATCTTTATTTATGGAGAATTTAAACACCTCGTAATATTTTCTTCCCTGAATTGAAGTCATTTGTGTACTTGTCTTATTTTCCACAAGATGACGATGAGCTCCTCATGAGCAGGACCCACATCTGGTTCATTTTTATGCCTTGAACATACTGATAGATACCAAATATGCATTTTTTAAAATGATTAGATAATGCATGAATAAATATATTGGCCAGGTCATTTAACTTCTGTGGGACTCAGATACTCCTTTTTACCAGGAGTTTGCAAACTTTTTCTATAAAGGGCCATACAATCAACATTTTAGGCTTCACAGGCTATTTGATCTGTTACAGCCAGGCAATTCTGCTGTAGTAGAGCAAAAGCAGCCCAGACCACACGTAAATGAACAAGCATGGCTGTGTGCCAATAAAACTTAATTTACAAACACAGGCAGCAGGCCCCACTTGGCCCATGAACCACAGTTTAGAGACACTCACTTATACAAACTTAAATTTAACACATGATATTGTACAAGTACATTTTAAATGTCAGTATTATATAGAAATTATTTTCTTATGTAATGACAGAACCTCAGCCAAAATTTCAAACAAGGAGATAAAAAATAAAAAGGAGGTATAAATAGGAAAATGTAAATACACTGCATAAAACCTGGTGAATCTGGACCTTTGGATAGTTCCACCAAATTTGCCCTCTCCCGACACTTATTACCATTACCATCTGTGTGACCTTAACTCACAATCTCTTTAGGCCTTAAATTTTTTTTCTATTTTATTTTTATTCTTAAATTACAGATTACATTCAATATTATTTTGTATTAGTTTCAGACGAACAGCCTAGTGGTTAGTCTATCATATACTTAACAAAGTGTTCTCCCAATATCTCCAATACTAACCTGACACCATACATAGTTATTACAATATTACTGACTATATTCTTCAGGCTTTAATTTTTAATCAGTAAAGTAAATTGGTTAAAATAGATAATTCTAAGATAGAACTCCATGGCCTTTAGAATTGTTCCAAATTAAATTTATAGATTTTAAGTGAAAATTTTATCTAGAAAATGATTACATTCATAAATAATTATAATCCATGGCAGAACAAAATACCAAGTATACCACAGAAACAAAGTATAACATATTAGGATAATAAACTAAGATAATCTAATACCTAGAATAATAATTGATCTAATGAGCTTTTTGAAACATTATTCATAATCATATTTTAGTATCGGAAAACTAAGGTTTCAGTAGCATCTTGAATGTAGTTATAAATACACCAGGAAAATCAGTTTAATAGCAAATACAGGTTAATTCACCTAACCAGGATGGTGATATCAGGAGGATATTCAGATTGTAATAAAACTTTTCCCAAAATAGAGAAGTAGTAAGATATGATCTTAAATGCCACAATATACAGTAAAATGGAAAAAAACCAGAATCTTATTCTGGCTTCACATTCCAATCACATGGTAAAATAATTAATAAATCACTGAACACCCTGACATATTTAGTGAAAACTGGGTTTTTTAAAGTTAAAAGTCGAAGGCAATATATAATAAATTAGTGTCACTCATTAGGTGTATGGTGATTTTATAACTTTTCCACGTTTACTCTTCAAATCAAGACAGGTTACAAAATAAAAACTCTTTACTTTTCACAAACTATTTTCAAAGAACTGTTTTGTCAGTTAAAATTCTCTCATTCACCACTACCCATATTTACAAAAGTAACTCCATTACACTGCTTTCTGAAATGTAAATTAACAGTTTTTGGTTCATTACAAACTTACCAAACATTTGGCAAATTCTTTGTTTTCTGAAAGGAATCCATACCCTGGATGCACCTTAGAAATGAAAACAGAAGGCACTTTAAATTTTATCAGAGAATACAGTCAACAAAATATAGAGTGTAGTTATGGGTTTGCTGTTCAAGGGCCCTTGAGTAAGGTTACTTCTCTCACATAGTGATCAGCTCCCACTCACATTCCTGAGTACAGACTCAGATTCCAAGACATGGCCTGTTTCACAATCACTTCATGCACACTACCTTTTTCCTAACCACAATGAGGGCCATCTACCTACATGTCTACCTGTCCACCTGCATTTGACTACCTATTCAACACAACTCACACTCTCCCTGTTTTCTGAAGCTAACCTTGGCCACAAGCCTAAAAATTTTTCTAATAACTGGTGAATCAAAGAATTACGTTGAAGAAAATCTTTTGCAAGATAGATTTGAAAAACTTTTCATTCCCTTCACAGTACCAGGAACTGCTACTTTCCAAAACCCTGGTTACAAGCCAAGTAACATATTTTATTCCTGACATTAATGTACTCAGCTTTTACCAATGAGCAGTTTCTGAAAAATGTAACCAAAATGGAAGTTTGGTTTATACTATTTCTTTTTACTCTGAATGCTTTTTTCTTTTAACATCTATTCTTCTTTTCCTCCTCACCCCACTTAGCCATCCATAACTTCTTTATGCTATGCTATGCAAGCCACACTGTTACAGTCTAAATTGTACCATCCTGTTCTAATCAAGTGATTTTTGCCTCTACCACATTGGCCAAACATAAATTTAGCCACTCTGTTATCAGTCAGTATTGAATATGTTTCCAGTAAAACAATTCTGCTATAAGGAAAGTCAAATTCCTGAAGAGGCTGGTATTATAATCTAGAAGAAGCTACACATCCAAGATTTTTAAATTCTGAACCAAGGTTTATTTATAAACATGCAAGAGAATAATTTAAACTACTGCAGCACAGGATAAAAGCTTCACCCCACCAATCTCATTTTATATAAACATTCAACTAAACATCGCATTCTGACAAGCTACAGTTTTACTTTCATTAACTCAACTAATAAACTGTAAACATCCATAATATGGGTTCACAAATTCAGCTTCTCATTTAAACATACATTTCTTTCCAAAAAAATGTGAAAACTAATTGAAGTACTTCAGGTTAATTGCTGGTGTCAGCTGCTTTCATTCAATTTTAGAGATAACTGCATAGTTTTAACCTTATATATAATTAGTTCTGACATAAAAACGCACACAACAACAACAAAACACTATTTCTGATGTCAGAAACCCATCTTTCCTTGGATTCCACTTCATTCAAACAGAATGGGGGTGGGCAGAATTACTGATTCCTCCAAGCAAGTTATATGTAACCTATTGACATAATCCAAGTAAAATCATTACCAATTACATTGTTTATATTTCTTGAAGTATATCTAGGTGTACAGTTTTTAAGTGATTAAAATAGAATTTAAACTGGGGCCTTTTGGATCCTGTTTATAATACAGAATTTTTTTTAATGTTCTTATTACATAGAAAGGGTTAATACTCAAAACTAATTGCTATTTCTTTTTTTTTTCCCCCTAGCAAATTTGGAAATGAACTGAAACTGCTCCCTGGTGTGAAAGCTGAATCCAGCAGCCACCTGCAGGATCAGCGACAAACACTGCCAGATGCCACAAAGCCTTTGATTTCCAGTAGCAAATTCAGCCACATTTAACTCATGTGACATGAACTAACTGCAACAGTATTTTCAATCATTCTTTCTTATTTTTTTTTTAAGATACAAACTCTAGCTTTCTGCTCACTACATATGAAACAGCTGCAGGAGAGAGATTCGTTCAGACTCACAGCCTGGGCCTTGGTTTTCCTGATGGCTTCCAGGATGGCCTCCATGTTGAGGTAGCTTTTACTGGTGGGAGCGGGGCCAACACACACAGCCTCATCCGCCATCTTCACGTGAACCTGAAGAGACAAACCTCTGCGTTAGCAGATGCTCCCAGCAAAAAGAACTACCCCATCTACAAATACACACAACACTGCAATGATTGTTTCACGTATCATTTATGGAGTCGAATTTCTTTTTGGATATGCACTAAAAAATTACAATGGAACCAATAAGCTCAGGAACTATATTAACCATAAGTTCATTTATTACAAGCCTGATCCACTGTGTAACCAAATAATTTCCATAATATTCCCTACCAATTTGAATAAGTAAAATCACAGCAAATAACTAGAGCCTTCGACTTGGTTCTGCTATACATAAATCTTATATCAAAACTTCCGTGCTACATGTAGGCAGGGTGGCCCAAGATTTTAATAACAAGAGCTCATGCCCAGTTCTAAGCAAGCTCCCCAGGAAGTGGGGATAATGAGAGGGACTGCATGAAGCGATGCAGTGAATGTCCCTGCACAGCATCGGGTCAGCACCATGCACAAATTAAAGCCCAGGACTAAAGAGTTCAATATCATCACACATGAATCAGAAAATTTTGAGAATCATTTAAATACTCTCACATTTAATCCTTGTCTACTTTACCTTTATTCCTGAAAAAAACTGATATGTGCATTAAGTCCTAAATCTACTAAAATCTAAGGAATATATGCTCCATTTGAATACTACTCACTTTACAATGTTTTAAATCTATTTTTGCTTAATACAGGCTAGGCATTCAATACCAAAAAGAGTAAGCGGCTTACTTCTAAAAGAAATTACTCTTTTAAAATGATGAAGCCGCTCATATTTTTGAAATGGCTTTTCCTAACAGTTTTACAGTTTGAGGAACTTCCGATCAGTTTCAATTTATTTTATAAGGCAGATATAAAAATTGGAATACATTAATATATCTAGATAATTGTGATCCACCCTGCTACCCCACCAAAAGACTAAGGTGGCTCATACTTTTGCTTATTGCTTCAGCTGTGAAATAATTTTTAAAGAAGCACTTTGTTTTAAATGAGATCTACAAAAAAATAAACCAAGAAAATCGTCTTTTAGAAAGCTCAGATGTTTCTTTATCAATTCAACATATTTTCCAATGAAAAAACTAGATTATGCATTAAATGGTAAAAGATATGTCTGAAGGATTTACAGATCAATATCTTAATATAACATATATATATACATATATACATATATATGTATGTGTGTGTGTATATATATATATATATATATATATATATATTCTGCAATCTCTTTAAAAACATCTGCTTCAAGGAAAGACAGCCATGCTCAGGGATCCTAAATATTTCCTTGTTCAAAGCAAGGCTCTCCTTGTGGTTGTTTTTGCCCTGTTTACTCCCAAACTCAAATTGCTCCTCTTCCCTCAGACCAGAATGCCCCCTCCCCTATTACCCTGTGCCCAGTTCAGATCCTATTAGTAGCAATTTTTTTTTGCTATAACTATTGTGTTTTTTTCTGTAAGAAATTGAATACTATATAATCCTTGATAAATAAATAACACATGATACTGTATAAATAGAGAACTCTAAAGATCCCACCAAAAAATAAATAAATAAAGATCCCACCAAAAAAACCTACTAGAACTAATAAATGAATTTGGTAAAGTAGCAGGATACAAAATATATATCCAGAAACCACTTGCACTTTTATACACCAATAATGAACAATTAGAAAAGGAAACTCAGAAAACAATCCCATTTATAACTGCATAAAAAAAACCTTGGAATAAATTTAACCAGAGATGTATTAAAGGAGACACGAATAAGTGTAAGCATATAACATGTTCATAGACAGAAAAAATTAACATCATTAAAAGCAATCTAGACAAAAAACCTAGAGACAGAACCTAGGGAGAGAACATGGCAAAAGATCCTGGACAGAACCTGGCTACAGAACTTGGTTGGAGAACCTAGACAGAACCTGGCTGAAGAACCCAGCTACAGAACTTGGCAACCGAACCTGGGTGGAGAACCTAGCGAGAAAACATGGCTACAGAACCTGGCTGGAGAACTGGCTACAGAACCTGGCTGGAGACCCTGACAAGAGAACCCGGCTATGATGATCACCTGAACACTGCCTCTGTGTCATTCCTTCTTCACCAACTCCGTCCACACCTTTGGGGACCCCTAGACCTGTTGGGGTTGGACCCCAACAGAAGTCAAGGGTCAATACATCCGATGATTCCATCCCTGTTCACCAAATATGTCGGCTAGAACAGCTTTACCGTGTAGTGAAATGTGGGGAAAGCAGCTGTCTTAGAGTCCTTTCATTATTAACCCACAGTGCTGGGTACAGAATAGGTTTTAATAAATGTGTGTGACTTTGTTTCCAAGAGTTGTCCCAGGAAAGGAAAACCAGTATGTCATTTCCCTGTGGCTGCAAAACAAGCCACCCACAATGTAATGTAGTGGCTTAAAGTAACAGCAATTTATTCTTTCTCATGAAAAAAAAAAAAAAAAAAAGCAATCTAAAGATTCAATGGAATTCCTATCAAGATAACAATGGCATATTTCATAGAACTAGAAAAAAATATCCCAAAAATTTATATGGAACCACAAAAGAACCTGAATAGCCACAGCAATCTTGAGAAAGAAGAACAAAGTTGAAGGACTCACACCAACCGATATCAAACTATACTACAAGGTCATAGTAATCAAAACAGCACAGTACTGGCATAAAAACAAACACATAGATCAATGGACTAGAACAGAGCACCCAGAAAAAAGCACACGCCTTTATGGTCAATTATAACTGGTGCAGCCACTATGGAAAGAAGTATGAAGTTACCTCAAATAATAAAAAATGGAACTGCCTTATAACACAGTGATTCCACTTCTGGGAATTTATCTGAAGAAACCCAAAACACTGATTTGAAAGAATATATGCACTCCTTTGTTCACTGCAGCATTATTTACAATAGCCAAGATTTAGAAGCAGACCAAATGCCCATCAGTAGATGAGTGGGTAAAAAAAGCTGTGGTATATTTACACAATGAAATACTACTTGGCTAAAAAAAAAAAAAAAAAAAAAAAAAAAAAAAGGAAGAAAACCAAGATGGCGGCATAGGTAAACACCGGAAATTGCTGCCTCGCACAACCACTTCAGAAATACAACTAAAAGACAAAACAGACATCATCCAAATCCACAGGAAGGGTGGCTGAGTGGAAATTCTACAACTAGCAGGAAAGAGAAAAGCACACTGAGACTCAGAGGAGGTGCAGAAGTAAAGTGCAGAGGTACGGAGGTCCATGCGGAAAGGCTGGCAACTGAGGACTCAGTTGTCTTTTTCAATCAGGAGGGAGACACAAGCTCCCAACTGCTCTGAACTCCAGTTCCAGGCGAGTCTCTGGGGACCCAGACTCATACGGGGAGAAACTGGACTGTCTGGCAGCAGACAGGATTTGAGGGCGGCTTTCTCTCAGAAGAGGTGCTTGCAGCGATTATCACGGGCCCTGAGACCTGGGGCCTCTTAGGGCAGGACTGAGGATCAGCCATAGCTGTTTGCTCCACCCTGTTGATTCCCTGAGACCCCGTCCCACCCAAGCTGTGTGCAGAGGCTTTTGCATATGAATGGCCTGGCCCTTTGCAATCTGAAAATTACCTAACAAACTGCAGCTGGGTCAGAGAGACCCAGAATATCCAAAAGAAGGCCCAAGGCCCCACAGCAGCTTGCATTGCTTCACAGCTGGGCCTCATCTGGGCAACTCCAAACCCCAAACAAAGGAGAAGAATCTGTAGCTCTCTCCATAGCTCCTGCTGGGTAGCCTCAGGCAGAGGCTAAATTAGCACCTCCTTAGAGATCCAAGAACCAGTGTACCCAGTGGTCAGAGTGGGACCATCTTGATTACAACTCCTCAGATCCATAAGGGGCACACTTAGGGGGCAGACACAGTGAGCACCAAAGCCCCACTGAAGGAAGTCTTGCCCCATAAGGGTTTCTCTAGCACAGAAGTTCTCCCACTGTAAACACAGCTGATTCTCACAGCCAATTGGCCTAGAGGTCAATTCCTCCCAGTGAGACCAACAACAATCAAGGCTTAACTACAACAAGACTGTGCACAAAGCCCACAAAGGGGTGCACCAAGAGTGTCCACCTCAGGTAATTGGGGAGGCTGAGCCACTGGGCCCTATAGGACACCTAGCACAGAAAGCCACTCTATCAACACAGGGAAGCAGCCAAAATGTGGAGACAAAGAAAGAGGTCACAAATGACAGAAATGGAGGAAAGCAAACTACTGGATATAGAGTTCAAAACCACAGTTATAAGGTTTTTCAAGAATTTTCTAGAAACCGCCGATAAATTTAGTGAGACCCTCGATAAATCTAGTGAGACCCTCGAGGATATGAAAAAGGACCAACTAGAAATTAAGCATACACTGGCTGAAATAAAGAATATTATAAAGAGATCCAACAGCAGACTAGAGGATCACAAGAATCAAGTCAAAGATTTGAAATACGAAAAAACAAAAAACACCCAACCAGAAAAACAAAAAGAAAAAAGAATCCAAAAAGATGAAGATAGTGTAAGGAGCCTCTGGGACAACTTCAAGTGAACCAACATCCGAATTATGGGGGTGCCAGAAGAAGAGAGAGAGCAAGATATTGAAAACCTATTTGAAGAAATAATGACAGAAAACTTCCCCCACCTGGTGAAAGTAATAGACTTACAAGTCCAGGATGCGCAGAGAACCCCAAACAAAAGGAATCCAAAGAGGACCACACCAAGACACATCATAATTAAAATGCCAAGAGCAAAAGACAAAGAGAGAATCTTAAAAGCATCAAGAGAAAAACAGTTAGTTACCTACAAGGGAGTACCCATAAGACTGTCAGCTGACTTCTCAATAGAAACTATGCAGGCCAGAAGGGAGTGGCTAGAAATAATCAAAATGATGAATAGCAAGAACCTACAACCAAAATTACTTTACCCAGCAAAGCTATCATTCAGAATTGAAGGTCAGATAAAGAGCTTCACATATAAGGAAAAGCTAAAGGAGT